CAGAGGTTGTTTCAGGGTTCAATCTGTGAGTTAGCCATTCCCTGACTTAGATCAGCGCAGAGGTTGTTTCAGGGTTCAATCTGTGAGTTAGCCATGCCCTGACTTTGATCAGCCCAGAGGTTGTTTCAGGGTATCGATAGAAATATTGAACGTTCTTAATGTTAAATTTATGTTAATCTAAAGGAAGGTGATTCAAGAATTCTAGGTGTTAAGGTAAATTAAATTGTACATGATACGTCACTTTATTGCGTTCCCGAGCACATCTCAGTACTACCTCTCAGAACAAGTTTACCTGAATGTGTTTAAACATATATTAAAAAAGCCAGGGGGGGATGAAACGTTATTAAGGCACTATTCGAAATGTTGCTTCTCGCGATTTTGTTGCCAACACATCAGTAACCAATGTTAGGCAACAAAAGGTAGGAACGTMGTTTATGGTGTATTATTTGATTCCTACCAATAAATATATTTGGTGATCCACGTGTTTGTACATACATTAAGTACCATGCGACCTGAATAATTAAAAGCTAAAACCTTATTTGAAATAGGAAACATGGTGCATTGTGGTCTATACTCGGTACAAATGTTTTCTGGTGTTAATTGTACCCAARCTAGACCACAATGCATCCGGTTTATCGAACTCAGAAAAGTCCCATGGTGAAGGTTTCTCGCAAAATGCAGACATTATCATAAGGTGGGCGTTTAAATTTCACTTACAAAGCCAGAAATTTACTTCATATTCAAAAAAATGAAAATAGACATAAACTAGAAAAACTATAATGTACAGAAAGGGTTAAAATTCTRTGATAAATAAAAATAAATTGTAATATTTAAATAAGATAATTTGTTGACACGGAAACAAGTAGGCAGTTCTTTCAAATGATGTTTTYTACTGAATCCTGTTTTCATAATGCRCAGTGCATTATGGGATATTTTGGCGGGCGCTGATTTAGCCACCCAATGTATCCCACGATGCATCACATCGAAAAGTGACGTAGTTTCTAATTTTTTTAAAGATTAAAAATTTTTTTTGAGTAACTACTCCTAATGGCATGCGAGTTTGAAAATTAAGGACACAGTCAAAAAAATGCGTGAGTGTTGAAAATCCCTTTGGAAACCTCTACTTAATACTGTCTAGTTTTTTTTCAGTAATTTAGTTATCCTTTGTAATAATTATATATGTTTTAAAATAAARTGGTACAATTTGCCGAATTCAATTCCGTTTTTATACAAAATAAAAATCTTTGAAGCAAGAGCATGGCTTCTTTACTCAAAGATCGAATCGTAAATTAGCTTGCTAGGCGGTTTGTATGAAGGAGGAAACCGGAGAACCTGGAGAAAAACCCTGTAGTCAAGGGAGRGACTTCTGCTCACATGTGATGTCTAGTCCAGGAATCGAACAACTGCTACACCACCCCCTCCCCCACCACCCCCGTTTTTTGCTGCTTTTTCTACAGGGAACGGTCAAGCTTTTTTTTTAAAGTTTAGTCAAAAGAAAGTAGCCAAGCCTCGATACTCTCCCCTCCCCCCTCATATTCATTTATTGGTGTTAAGACAGACGAGCAGGCAAGATAACACGGTGCGCACAGAGTATCTGAGTACTAAGCTACCTTAACGTCTATACACCTGTCCAGCACAATAGATGTTTTTAAATACCGCAGTGTTCCTCGATTACAGACTCATTTACACAGGGTTAGYCTCGTATCAGCTTACAAATATTCACAGAATCGAACGGTAAAGTAAAGAATGCACAAATTCAACAATACAAACACTGAAGTCCCACGGACCTTTCGCTGGAACACATGAAATATTTTATACAAAATAGAGGCTAATCCTCAGCAACAGAGAATATTCGAAACCTCGAGTATTTAGTGCGGATGTCTTTTTTCTTTAATGATCAGAAATAGATTCCTTTCAGACAAATGTTACAAATCACAGGAATTCGATAAAAAAAAAAACGTTTAGATTTCATTATAATATTAAGGAACAAAAATAATAATAATAAACAAATTTAATGATTTTTTTTTTGTTTTTTTTTTTGTTTTGTTTTGTTGCGAGGTTTAACATGATTCAACAGTGTTTAGGGGTTCATTGTTAGCTTGTCGTTTGTTGCCTTTCTGGTTTTTGACTCAATTTTATCTTCAAAAGAAAACTCATTGAAATGATATTTTAGAGTAGCCTATGACAAGTTTCCAGGAGAGGGTAGTTAAAGAGGAAGAGTAGAAAAAAACATAGTAGAGAAAAATAAGACAGTAAAAAATAATATGAATGAAATGAGAAAAAAGTTATAAATAAAATGTGGAAAGCTAAGACAATAACAGTATAAGAAAAAATTGAATTTCAAAAATATGTTAATAGCAAAATTATTAATTTTAAATTAAAAGCTTCCGTTAAATTCATAAGAAATAAGTATGGCTTGATGAAGATAAAAGTTAAAAATGGAACTAGGAAATTAAAGAAAAGAAATATTAGGGTTTGAAAAACATGTTAAGAAGAAGAAAAATGTAATATAAAAACATGATTTAAAAGCTTTCTTTTATAATAACACTGACTAGACGAAGATTAAGAGTGTTAATTACGCGCATGCGTAGATCATTTCAACATATCATCAACACGAAAATTCAATCTCAAAATCGTTTGTTTGTAATTTTGGGCTGGAAAAACTTTATGAAAWGCAAACAACAAAGAAACAAAAAAGATTAAATCAATATTTTAATATTTACTAGGTGATATATTATGAGTTTCAGTTATTAGAATCCAAAAATCTACTTTACAATCATTAAATATTTCAGTGAATTGTGATTCACATCACGAAGGAAATCATTATTACTATTTTTATTCTTTCTTTWGACCAATTTAAGAAAAAAATCTGCTTAAAGTATTAAACAAATTTTCTTAAGAATTTTAAAGATTTTTGTATTTGAAATAATTTCAAAAATTTACTTAGTACTGATTTGGGTTTTTTTTTTTCTTGAGGAAAAGAAATGAGCTCTGAAAAGYAATATTTTAAAGAATTTTAATTAAAGATCATTGTGTTTGAAGTATTTCAAAATTACTACTCAGTGTTTTAGGGGTTTTTTTCCTCGAGAAAAAGAAATGAGATCGAAATAATAATAATAATAATAATAATAATAATAATAATAATAACAATAATAATAATCGCATCTAACAAAAGTCTCGATGTTGTGGAGAATTTTCGACTCTTTTTGCAGAAAMCTTAARCAGRACGATAGTATATACAGAAGTTCTCRYCCAAAGCCYTATCAATGTTACGCTCAAAAAAACCCTTGAAATGTGKTATTACTGAATTATAGTCAAGTACAATGGCGATCTAAAAGATAACACTTGTTCATCTCGTCCTTTTCTTATTCAGTCCTCTATATCAAAGGGTTTCAAACCTCTGAAAAAATCATAACTTTCTAAAAATTATTATACATTGATTTAATTTCTCGTGTCATTAAGCTTGGATTCCAGCTGATACAAAGATTTTCAATAACCATTTCGGCTTCTTTGTGATGCCGGACAGAATACAGTCTCACATATTCAAATTCAAATATTCCTGATTTTGATTCAATGACGAGAAGAAGACGGTTCTTCTATGACCAGCTCGGGGTCTTTATCGCGTACAAAAGCAGAATGGCCATCATTCTCAGTTTTTGTCGTGCTTTTGCCGTTCTTTTTGAGGCGCTTAAGGAGCAGTGTGGTYCTCTCTTGTTGTAAAGGCGTAGTTTGTATCTTCGTTGAACTCATTCTCTCGGATTCCGGATGCTGTTTCATTATTACAGCTTTAAAGCCTTTTCGGAAATTTTCATTAAAAATTACATATATGTAGGGATTTACAGCGCTATTGGCGTGGCCGAGATATAAAGTAATAAAGTCCATATGATAGGGTAGTCCACATAGGTACTTGACAGGAAATGAGAATAGCAAGAACATCCGTACGTACAATGGCAGCCAACAAACAGCAAAAACCACGACCACYGTGATTAGCATCTTGAGTACCTTTTTATTCGTTCGCTCCCTGTTTGAACGGTTTGTGATCGAGTTCTGTCCGGGGGTCGTGCGACTCCAGAGTCGTAWAATGACTGTAGTATAAATAACTGCTATTATGAAAAGTGGTAGGGCGTAGAGGCCAATAAATAGCGCGATAGTGTAAGCCAAGGGGGATTTGGCTTCGTCAAACAATGGTGACCACTTTTCCACACAATAAACCACACCGCCAATTTGTTCCAGCCTCAAGGCRTACAGATTCGGGCAGGAAAAAACTATAGACGCGAGCCATATCGCGACGATTATCTGCTTGGCTCGAGGAAAGGAGATTGTGCGCTTAAGCGGACGAAATATCGCGAAGAAACGATCAAAAGCGATAGCAGCCATGCTTAGAACAGAACAACTGATGGAAACCAATTGGAAGAACTGGAAAAGCTTRCATAAAGCTTCGCCAAATGTCCCGCCAATGTACCAGATATCGACACCCTGTATGATCCAGAACAATGTTGGTAACATGTTGAATAAGGTGGTCAAAAGATCTGCAAGTGAGACATYGACGATAAAATAATTGGTAACAGTGCGCATCCTTGCCGTTCGCCGAACGACCCACACAACCAGGGCATTTCCAAGCAAGGACAGCCCAATTATAGCAAAGTACCAGAATATCTTTAAACCTTTGGAAAAAATTGAGTCTTTCGATTCCGGGCACGCTAAGGTGTTGGTGGTGTTTTTGCCTAAAGTGGCGACCGCAGGATCACTTGTGTTAGGGAAATCCATGGTAATCAGCGGGAAACTGAGCCTTGCTTTACTTTCAATAAACCACTCCAAAAAAATCAATAGTCTTTGTTCTGTTTTTGCACGAGAAAACCGGGAACGCTTGCTTTGAAGATCTCAAAGTCTAGCCAGGAACAAACGTAGATAACTTGTTTCCTCTACGGAAGCCGCGCAAAAGGTCAGGTAGCCTCCACTTTGAGCGGAAGATCTCAAAATCAGTCAGAAAAAATATCGAGAAAACTATTTCGAGGCAAAGCAAAATTGCTACATCAATCTGAAGCTTTACCTGAAGATCTCAAAATCAAGCCAGAAAAAAATGCCGAGAACTTGCTACGTCTACGGAAGTCAACCAAATTGACACATCAGATTTGGGAGGCTTCCACTTTACCCGACAGACCACTCAACTAATAACACCAGGATCTTTTAAACCAAGCGGCTTTATACTAATTCATTGTACTCTTTATTGCGAGATATCATTGGGCAAGATCTGCAAACGAGCCCTAGTCGGCGAACAAAAATACGAGCCAACAGCTGAACAACTCCACGAAAATCAAAAGGATATTGCATATACGTAATAGGTTTGGTCACCGCTCTTAACAATCCACGCAAACAACAAAATATAGGAAAGGAATAAGGAAACAAAGGAARCCTCCTACTCTATGGTTATGCAAACACATATTGGAATACATCAAAAATAACTAAGATACGAGTCAGGTGGTTAGATAGTTTAGGTAATATTAATGTCAGTTCGTTTGAAARTGTCATGTTCTTGTCAAAGAATATGAAATGTACACTCTTAATGAAGCACTTTTTTCAGGTGCTAAAGGCTTTCGTTAAACAATGGGTTTATTTTTCACAATTYGAGATTGCAGTTTTGGTGTCAGAAGTGGGGTTACGAGTCAGTAGCTGAGTCGATATCAGTTCGTAAACACAAAAAACTTGAATACTTAAGGGTTCACGTTTATCGGAAATATGTTGTAATGGCAGGAAGAGAAGAATRCAAAGATGTTCTAGGTAAAATAATTTGGCTCACAATCTTCAATATTTGGGGAAACTAATGAGAACGCGCTCAATTATTAGCATTTCCTATGACAATCAAGTTTGTTAAAGGATATCGGAACGACACAACGTAAACCCCATTTACTTAATTACATGTAACAAAGAACAATTTAAGTCGCTTAAGACTGTACTTGAAGGAAATTCAGAAACCTAATATTCCAAAACAAAATAAACAGCTAGATGCATGCATTTATGTAAAAAGTTACTCTCACTAGACATAACAAAGATAACTGAAAKAAATGAAAGAAACTTTCAAAAATAAGCGGAAGCATAGTTCGGTAACTAAAGAAAGAATGAACGATAGAATAACTGAAACTCCAGTCTTATAAATTTGAATAATTCTGGAAACAATTTGATTCCACAGATGTCAGCCATTAGAGATGAAACTGTTCGCACAAAATTTAATTGCTGTAGGTTATTAAGTAAAAAGAAACTATTTCGTCTATTTTGATGGGTAAAGATTCACTTCATTATTTCCTTGCGTAAACAAGTCTTTAAAATGACGATTCCGSACCTGACTATGAAAAATAAACATATATTAAACTGCTGTTTTACAAAGGTGCAAACCAGAAAYATAAAAAGTATTTGAAGGCTTTTTTGGAGAAATGAATGTAAGTTTTCACGAGTTTTCTAGATTTCAGTGGACGTTCTTGGATTTCTCTCGCTTACACTTTTAAATAGGATGTTGAAGTTATAGTGTTCACGATCCGATGGCTTTGGAGCGCAAAGGAACCTTGGTCGTCGATCGAGATATTTCATTTATTGCTTTAACTGACAAAGAGGAAAAAAAAAAAAAAATCTATGGATTCTGAGGAGGTCTGAGGTCCAAATTAAGATTTCAGAATATAATATTAGAACTCAAAAAGCATCTTTAAGACGAAGAGTGCGTTGCTTGTGGTAAAAACTATTCGAATAACGTCATGAGCCCGAGGGATGAAACTATCTAGACACTAGCTAATATTGATTGAGTGAATATCAGAAAAACAAAACAAAACATGTGCTGCCTGTGGAAAAAGACATTCGAGCAATGTCATGAGCCTGAGGGCCTGGTGACCTGAATCTATGAAGACACTAACGTTGCTAATATTGATTGAGTGAATATCAGAAAAACAAAACAAAACATGTGCTGCCTGTGGAAAAAGGCATTCGAGCAATGTCATGAGCCTGAGGGCCTGGTGACCTGAATCTATGAAGACACTAACGTTGCTAATATTGATTGAGTGAATATCAGATAAACAAAACATGGGTTGCCTGTGGAAAAAGGCATTCGAGCAATGTCATGAGCCCGAGGGCCTGGTGACCTGAATCTATGAAGATACTAGCCTTGCTAATGGATTGATTGGCAGTTTTTAGATCAAAGCCTGCATTAAACAGTGTGTAACACCACTGCTGTAYTACGGACGTCAACGGGTCTTTCCTGAACTACATGTTAGCGATAAACCCTCTGACTTAGAAACTACATCTAAGGTTGTGTAGAGAACATATTTTGAATCTGTGGCCTTTTAAAGCTATTAATATATTTGAAAACATTAATGAAGCAGCTAAATTATCCTAAAAACCCCCCGGGGCAACTGAAGACGCCTTTTTTTTTGTATTTTTTTCTCTCTTTGATTAGTTTTCGGGGTACTTTTCGAAATGATATATGATCTATGATAACCAATAKAAAAAGGGCGGTTTTCTTATCTCTTGCCTTTGTATACAGATAATAAGCCTTAATGCCCCAATTACTGAAAAATTTGGAAAGTTGAATGAATGAAGCTTTTAAGCCGTTAACATCGACCCTCCCAACACCGGCCCCTTCTCTGTTACACTATACATATTGAATTCAGAATCTTATCGATAATCTAGGTATATATATGCTGCTTGACTCGGTTTGATGCCACTAATAAGCGTAGTGATGACGAAACTGTTATRCCTTATGGTTTGGTTATATAGCGATAAGACAGACACTGGCTCAGCAGGAATTGGAAACAGATGGATGAGAGTGCCTGGCTAGCACTCCAGAAACCCAACACAAAGCACACAGAGACAAGAATTCAAATCACCTTTCGTTCGGCTTGGATGCTGTTGTTTAGTGGCCGGGTGAATTTTGCCCTTCTCTACGTTCGTCACTGCCATAAATCTGGTAAGGATATCATGTATATATTTATTTATTTATTTATCTTTGATTTCAGCTAGTTTAGCACAGCTGCTGAATAAACACCAGATTGCAGCCAGATATTTTAATCGCGATTTGAAAAATCCTCTTCCAATGACAAACGACAATACTTTGTCTTACATATTCACAGTCCTTTCTTTCATAGGTTYTTTTATCGTCATCTTTTTAAATACCAAATCGGTAGATATTTTGTAATTTAGCTGTAGGTATTTTATTATACCAAATTCAACAATTTTTCCACTCTAACATATATATAACTGACTATTTCTGACAACTTTTCCCTATATATAGAGAGTGAATATAAAGCGTCAACCGTCAAGGTAGTTAAGGCTGCGTTCATAATGTATGGCAGAGGGGGGGGAGGTGAACATTTGAAATGTCCAGAATAATAGAATAATTCTTAACACCCCCCTTAAAGTCATACAAAAAAAATACAATCCCCCTAAGCAAGGCTTGTAGTTTCTTCCAAAAATTGTGCATCCCCCCCATTTTTCTGATAAAAATTTGCCCATACCCCCCTTTTTCTTACCAAAATTTTCCCGATCCCTCCTCAATTTCACCTGCCCCACCCCTCCCTCTGCCATACATTACGAACGCAGCCTAAGCCTAAGAACCCTCAAAAACGAATACCCTCTCGCAGATATTTTGTAACTTAACTATAGGTCTTCTTTAAATCACCAAATAAATAAAAAATTCAAAATCGATATAAATTTCTGACTACTTGTCCCTAGATATAGTAGAAACGTCAAACCACTCACAGATATTTTGCAACTTAGCTGTATATATATATTTAAATTATCAAATGAAAACAATCCTTCCACTTTATCATATTTCTGCGGACTACCCTTTTCCAACAAGGAAGACAGCATTTAACGTTAAGGCAATTACAAAAAACTAAAATGGACATTCAAAAACATGATCTAGGCAACATGTCGTAAGAGAACAAATTCAGCTACGAAGAAAAATATCTACTGCAACTTGTTTTAAGTCTTCACCAAAGCCATCGAAAACTATTTTTCAGTCGATTTAAAAAAAYTTCTGTTTGTGGTATATTCTATTGGAGGAGCTTATCATACTAAACAACCGCATTGGCCTGGTCTGAAGTGAATTAAATCTGGAGCGACTCGAGCACTATCGCGAGATTCTGATGTGTAAGTGAACACTTGAATGCAGGTTTTATGAGTGTTTTTKTTTTTWAATTKTAAAAAAGCTAAAATAGCCTAAGTGTTGTAAAGTGCTATTATAAGGAGGTATTGTTCTAACGGTATCTTGATATAGCTTTTTACGAGTATGTATAAATGCATTGAAGTCCAGTAAATTGTGCCATAAGTACGTCTGGTTCAATAATACCTATCGTTAGATTGGTGATGGAAATCTCGTCTTGGAAAACCTTCTAGCGAGGAAGCAAGGAAAAGAGAGAGAAAGATAGGAGACAGAGAAGAAAATAAAGAAAAAGAAGGAAAGAAACGAATGAATAAAGGGAGGAAGGAAGGAAGGGAGGAAGCAAAAAAGGGAAAAAGAAGAAAGAAA